AAAAAAATTTGTACTTCCAACCGATTATAAGTTGTGTAGGCCACATACGATACAAGGATAGATTGTTGGATCTCTGTCTAAATCTTGGAACAGGAAAGAAAATGTAAGAACATGATATTTCATTATTTGTTTTGGATAAATTATTACTATTTTGAGTATTTTTCAAAGTACTCTTGCCATAAAACGAAATAGAGGTTTTGCGGACAAGGACAGGGGCATGAGGGGTATTTCTGACTATTCAACAGGTCGACATTTTCCAACTAGTTGCTCGTCCTCGTCACTACGAATAAGACACGTGTCGAATGAAACCATTGACTTGACGACACGTGTGTGAAGGGACCACGTAAGACCTTTGCGTTGTGTGGATTTATCTTGTTTCAGTCTCCCAAGACGTTAAGTAATAGTTAATGGGACTGCTAGCGACACGACAAGTGGTCAGATAAGGATTTGTGATGTCTTTTTTAATATATATATATACCTTTTTTTTTTGAAACTAAAATATATACATAACTTAACTATTAAAATCGTTTTGTTTTGTTAATTCATGAACATACGTATAGTTATGAGAATTCGCGTTAGCAAAATAAAAATAACAATTCCATTTTTTTTTAAAATACAGTATCAATCTAGAAACCGATACAGAGACAAAAAAAAAAAAAACAGAGATAGAAATGGAAACAAAAATTTATGGATACGAGTACAGTAGAGATACGTCAATAAATACATAAAAAATACTTATGAATAAATATAAAAAAATTATATCATAAATCTCAGTAAAAAAAACATTCAATCCATATAATAATAAAAATAGAGTTATTTTGATATTAAAAATAGATCTTAGATTACAGATGCATTAGAGATAGAAAACCATACGGTGATGACAAATATACAGGGATTGGAGTAACGTAATTTGAAGAGACAAACTTTGTTGACTTACAGAAAGTCGAGAATCAAAACTATTTGAAGAGGCGAGTATCGATTATATATGAGATGTATTATAAATTTGAAATCATATTTCATATAAG